GGTTCGCTATGCGAAATGAGATGCTGCAGTCATGTTTAGCTTGCAGGTGAAGGTAATTACTTTAAGTAAAGTCTTTATGGTGGAAAAGTTCATCTTCATGATTTTGAAGCACATGAGGGTTTGGATTTCAGCTCTACTTATTGACAAACGGTTGCAATAAGACGTCGCTCTTCTATGTCCAAATATGTACGGGGAAATGCGGAAATCGGATGCATGAAGAGGTTACAGTTCTGTTCCTTGCAGAAAAGGGAAAATGACTGAATCATTGGTGAAAGTTTTCCTCATCTTGATTTCTAGGAAAATAACGGTGCTATCTTGTTGATCTTCGACTACATTTCATCCTCTTCGTTGTCTTAGTCATTGAAGAAATTAGAAAAAGGGATGAAGACTTCTACTAGAAGAAGTAGGTAGGAAGATATCTTCAACGCACCTCCAACGACAGGAAGGCTTTACATCTTGAGGGCAAAGATCTAAAGCAGCGCATTAATGATTATTCATAAACATTTCTTTAACGATAACGACTGTAGGAGTTCCCATACCAATTACATAGGATTGGCTTTGGAAGGTGTTGTCATATTCAAAGCAAGCATTTGTAAGAATCATTTCAAAAACTGTAAAGATTTTTCTGATGGTCAAATCTTTGTGTAGCAAACGCCCGTTTTCCCAGATGTGCTCGGTTTCTTTTCCAAAATCTGTTTTGCAATCGAATGAATTTTACTCATTTGGATGTTGTAAAAAAGGGTTTTAACACGCATTTAACTTTTTCAAAGAACCAAAAGGAAGGGTTGAAAAATTCGAGTTTCTTAATGCTGTCTTCACCGCTCTTTATGCACTCTTCACATTAGCTGAAAGCTTCAGCATGAGGTCGATAATGAAATAACAATTCTTAATTGTTATGATTGCTTGTGCAGCTTAATAAGAACATACAGTCGCACGTTCTTTGTAGTTTTCTGTGAAGGTAAACTCAAGTCGAACTGCAAAAAAACCAGAAAGGGCTAAGTGTTTCAAGATTCTCAGAACGCATTTTCATTCATATTTGAAATATTAATAAACGAATTTTTTTCATTGTTTGAAATATTTGTTTTTTTTCTTTACTCAGATAGATGAAGGCGAATCGAACTAATGATCGTAATCGAAAATTATATTAGTCGTTGGCAGTAACAAATCAGATCGCCACAATCTCGATGATGCCATAACGATGCTGCACGCAATGATTTTTTATAATCCGTTGTGATTTGAATTGTCCACAATGATTGTGGTAATAACATCAGTACTAGAAGTAGGATTCAGTGTTTGATGACTGTATCGGCAATGGCTAAAACTGATAAACAATGCTGTTTCAACTTGCTTATGAATCGCTCCACGGACTTCTAATAAATGGTCGGACAACTTTTAACGCACCATTTGTCACTGCTCTTCTTGATCTTATCGATTCGTCCATATTTAAAGTCGGCATTTCTGTCAGCGCCATTTGTTACAGTTTCTTCCTAAATGTGCAATCTTATCAAATTAAACATTATGTACGTGTATGTTTCCCTTATACCGATTTGTTCATGGACGCTGAGAAAATAAGTTTATTGTATGCTGCCACTATGTATTTAGCGCTCTTCGTTTATTACATGCTTGCAGATCTGCGGTAGCAGCTAAGAAAAATACGTTCCAACACATTTTTCCCTGTATCGTTTTTGATCCATGTTGCATCTCCATTGTGCAAAAAAGGGCAGCACTCTCTTTCCGCACATTTGACAGTCTTTCACTCATTGTTTTGGTTTTGAAACAACATCACTTTCAGTTCATAACAACTGTGTGACAATAGCGTTTTATAGACACATTAACATAATCATGGCTTTACAGCAGAGCAGCCATTGAGGATTTCGTCATTCTCTGGTAAGCTTGAATGTTCTAAAGTTCTAGAAATACAAACTGTAATAGAAAATCGTAACTGATTATCATATTAAGACTCGAGTGACGCAATCGTAAGTCGTACAATTGAAGTCATATTGCTATAAAACGGACTGACAGTAGCGGACTGACAATAATTCCGTATTCATGAGCCCTTTTTCCTAAAACAAAATAAATGCAAAGTAGAGCAGAATGCAACAGCCAAAAATTATCGCTTCGTTAGATTCGTTTTGTTTTTCTGTTTCCTTCCATCAAGTCCGTCAACCATTGGAGTTGCTGGTCAGAGATTCTTTACTTTCAAATTGGGTACTGTCAGAAAATCAAGATTTTACTTTAAAAATTGCACATATTTGCATGGAGATATGAAGCAAGTGACAGCTGAATGTGCAATCTGAACCTAACCGCCGACTTGCATCATGGATGGGGGAAACGAAAACAATTAAAAATTTAAGCATCATCTTTTTCGATGCAATAATTAATCCCTCTCACAAGACTTTTAGACACTGAACAGTATTAAGTTCGATTCCTTTTGCCGAGGCAAAGTAAAATAACACTGTGTGCAACCACGGTTACAGGCTGTCAAGCGTTCAAATTAAAGTTAACCGTAGACAAGACAGAGACCGCGACAGTAAAAGACAATGTTGAGATAGTGGTGAGGGTAGTGCAGTCCAACCAGCCAGTGCTGCCAAAAGGTATTGTAAAATCTGATGACAGAAATGTAATATGGGGGAGAAATATATATTGCTTTTATAGTATTGTGCTCCCATGCGTTTGACATCATCGGTCGAATATGGCTATGTCAGTAGCTACACCAATTTCAGTTAAATATTTGTTAATTCCCTTTCTTAAATTGTGAATTTTTATTATTACACTAATCGATGAGTTTTTTTATTTAATTAAAACAGTAAACTCATAATGTTGAAACTCTTCGTCTTTCCATTCTTTATATACGGAAAAGTAGAGTTGATTCTCTAATCATATATGTACTTGAAAATCTACCATCGGGTAAATGTTGTAGTTTAAAAGTTTACTCATGAATTTAATATGGTTTCATTCCTTTGAAGAATGAAAGTTTTACATGATTGGCACTCTCAGTACAGCTGAACGATGGAAGTTAAAAAGCGGCTGTATCTAGAACTTTCATCGGTTGTGAGGTCGATCATTAGGGAGCATAAAGAAGACTTCGATAAACCTACGAAGTAACAAGATTTCATAAGTTTTACAGTTGAATATTGAGCTCGTTTCAGCGACTTGACGAATAGACTGTGTTGTGTTTTGGAGGCGGTTTTCATCAACGGTTTGAAGGAGAAGTTCATCGTTAGAAAAATTGAAGAAATGTATCCTGAACCGGTAAAGATGCTTTACTGATTGTAAAGAGCTGAGTTTTGGGAGCTAAAGTCGTCAAATATAGGGAGCCATTTAGATCATGTGAGCATTGGACTTTAAATTTATTTAAATAACTCTAAAAATATTAAATGATGAATTGCCATTGTATATGTTTATTAGTGCGCGTGGTTCATAACATTTTTGTAGAGCTGATGCTCTCAATCCATTTTACTGTAATGCACTAGGCGGCGTACTTTATGAATGCAATATTTATGACCGTAATGACATGCATAGGGCGTTGTCCCTTGTTTCGTTGCCACGAACCGATTCTGGCATATAGACTTTGAAATGATGGTAGGTGACTGGTTCCGAACGTTAATTCGAACCCTCGGTATTTCACTTGTGAACTGGGTGCTCGACTGCTCAGCTCCGCGGACGACTATTAATCTTCGCGATGTACGGCTTAAACGTTTTGAGCATGTATCACTTCATTAATCGATCAGTCCTTTCGTAGCCTGCAGTCCTTTTGAGTCGCTGCAGCACCAACCTCTGGAAATTCAGGTTCCCAGTTGTGGCAGTGTCAGGTTTTCGATGTTCTCGAGTCATCTGTTATTTGACTCTGAAAAGAGAATTATCCTCTGGGCGAATCTCTCCTTAAAATCTTGGAACCTCATTTCCATACCGTCATAGTTGAGATTTCTCGATTTAAATAGAAAGCGCTCATGAGAAAATGTATAACTCGAATTGCCCCGTTTAGAAGCATCTCGTGCATTTCATTGGCGATCCTTCTGAAAAGCTTCACATGCCAGTTGCCTATGGCCGTAATCAGTCAAAATGGTTTACTGCATGAAGAAGTAGCGCGCAAATCTAATGCTGACTAACATTTCAGCAATCATTGGACCAGTAGTATAACCATGAGTTCCTTGGACTCATGAAATCGGTTTCTGTCGATCAGTAGCAGGCAATCATTATGGTATATGAGGGAAAATGCTTAGACAGCCATAAATACAGTTTCGAGTTTTAAGTCGGCCTTTCTTCATCCTAAGTTCCAGGATATTTATTCAGTAGCAACTGTGAGAGATTTTATTGCAAATTCTGTCGTTTTCGTTACATATGTTTATGTTTATGAGCCTATTTAATGTAGAGAATCATAGACACTACGTTTAATGTAGGCATCTTGCGTAGAAAAACTTCTTCATCTTCCATCGCCGCTTTCCCTTCGAGTCGCAGAAGCAGACGCGTCAGACAGAGCTTCCAACGTTCCCGATCTTGTGCCAGAGTCTCAGCTTCGGCAGAAGACAACTGGATTCTGGAACAGACTCATTCCATATATTTGCACCAGGTTAATCTTGGCCGTCCCCTGGACCTTATGCCGGTCAGATTTGCAGGGAACGGTTGCTTAGCCTTCCTTTCTGGAGGCATTCGCAACACATGCCCAAGCCATCGCAGCTGTGACTTCTCAATCTGGAGAACATGCGTAGAAAATATGCTGAGTAACTGTTCTGACAACCTTGATAAGATCAGACTCTTTAATCAACTGTTTTAAGATTTGGAATTTACCTACGGGACTACATAATCAATTTGTAAAACACTAAATGGAACATGGAGGTTAACCAGTTTAAGTATTTTGGTTCCATCATCTAGCGACGGTGCCATTTAATCAGAGTTAAACAGGAGAATTGCTCTCCTGTCTGGTGCTTTCCAAAAAGGAACAACATTTTGTAACAGGGATTATGAAGATCTACCGAAAAATTACTCAACAAGCAAAAAGAAACTCATGAAGGAATTAAGAGAAATGAAGACAGCGCAGATCAGAAATCAATGAGATAGAATACGTGAATCTTTTATGAAAACATAAAAGAAAACGTCTGAGTATTCAGCTGCAGATTGATAAAAGAAACTATTGAAAATGGGCAAAGTATAAAGAAATTAAATCGACGATTGACAGTGAGGAGTCAAGATGGAACTCACAAGAAAGACCGAGAAGAAATTCTGAAGAGAGTAGGAGACTTATATACAAAACTGCACAAAAAAAGAGAGCAATTCCCTTGCTGGTGTACGATAAACAACCGGAAGATACAAATGGCGATGACGAAATTCCAGGTTAAAATTTTCTTCTTTGCAAAAGAAGCGCGACATGCGATCAAACAGTCAAAGCAAGGAAAGGCTCTTGACATGAAATCAGCAAATCGTTTATCAAAATATTAGCAAGCTTGTTTTAGCGCTGTCTGCAGAAAGTGAAAATGCCAGACGATTTGCCTCCTGCACTGGCGATTCTACAACACAGAAAAGGAGTCGGAGAGGATTTGAAGATATACAGGCTGATCAGTTTGTTGCCAGTCATTTGTAAGATCCCCCCACGGTAATAATGAACAGTTTTCATGCAATATTGGACACAGCACAGCCAAAAGACAAACAAGGTTTCAGAACTAGATTCAGTACTATAGCTTATCTCGAGGTAGTAAACAAAGAATTCAATCAAACAACGAATATTGGATTTTTCTTTGCCTAAGTTTTTTCGATTTCGAGAAGTTGTTCGGCTCAATCTGCATCCATTCAGATTCAGAATTCCTTGACAGGTCAGGGAATGAAGGAACGATACGGAAACCTCTGATGTTACGATTTACAAGAACGCAACTGCTAGTGTAAATCTTCATGAATCCAGATGAAATTCGAACAGGGAGCTCGACACGGAGATGCGATACTACTAAAGTTATTCACCGTAACTTTAGAAGTTCAAGACAGCCCGTTGGGAAAATCTCGAGCTTAACAGAATTGACCACTATTTAAGCCACGCGATTTTTGGATGATATTTTGATCCTCTCAAGGCCGCCACAAGAATTCCAAAAATGAATGCAAAAGTTAAACAACGCCAGCATTTAAGTAGGATTGAAATTAAACGATACTGAGCTCATTTAACAAATATGTGATCCCGCTACCTGTTCAAGTCAGCGGAACTAAGTTTGAAGACGTGTAAAATTTTGTCTCTGTCGGATAGCTGATTGCAGCGGTAAGGCTATTGTGTGAAATGAACAGAAGAATTGCATGGAGCACTTTTATTAGCCCGAAAAATTCTTATACATGAAATTGCCCTTGTGCTTGAAGCGGCAAGTATTCACTCGGCCTGTGGGTCCAGTGCTAATCAGAGAGTGCAGACCGAAAGCACAAACTGCAGGCTATGCAACGCTGTACGTTGAAAATAACAACAAAATAATAGGACGATGAATGAATGGATAACAGCATTAATTGGAGTCCGCGATGTCATTGCCGAATAAAGAACTTGAAGTAACAACACAGAGGACACGTTGTATGAATGAATCATCGCTAGACCAGACAGGATGAACTGAGGGGGTGGATCAGAGTAGATAAAAATGGCAAAATGGAAGTCTGTAGCGAACTCTTAGAAAGGCTTTCATGCGGAAATGGATTGAAAAGACTGATGATTATTAACTTAATGTAAACTGATGCGTATTTCGAAAAACGAGGCAGATGACACGCAATATTCAGTATATGTAAGAAACGCTCGATTTCGATTTGTACCTTATATACAAAAATATTTTTTTACTGCTTGAATATTGAAATTATAAATTATACGTTTTAGAATTTTTGGCCGTGTGTTTCGAAATTTCTGCACCGAAATGTAAAGGCACAAATTTCAAATCTGAACCAGATCAAAAATGACATAGGAAGGTCTAAGGTGATTTTTATTTTGAGTGCGGTCTTTACATTCTCATGTGCTTTGGTTGATAGGCTTGGATCCGATTAGCACTGGTAGACGGGGTAATGGAAAACTATTTATCGCTTATAGCTAAAGATCAGAAACTGTTGAAGTACGTTGTTTAGTTAATTGATTACAAATATCAGTAAGCATAAATTTTGATAAATGGTGGCTGTATATCGTTTCAAGTGCTGTATAATACATATCTTTCTATTTCTATCCTAATATCCGGCACGTGTTTCGTTAGCAGCTTCATCACAGACGCAGTTCGACATTTTGGTGTTGTTCCCTTTACTTCCATCGTTTACCAAACAGCTTCGCCATTGGCTCGTTCCAGCGTATGGGTGAACGACCGAGTGGAAGTCTGCCGCTGAGGGGAATTCAGTTGGTAACTCAAAATGTCCACTCATTATCTTTCAGACGAGCTACATGGCTAGTGCATTGTCTCTTCAAGTTGTTGCCAAGATTGAGTACATCCAAAAATCGTCTCCGATACCAAACTATCACACTTGGTGTATTGTCACGAAAAGAGACCTTGCGTATTCTTCTTTCCATTGCCTTGCGTTGCTACTAGTTTTACTCTCAGCCTTGGTTTTAGACAGGCACTTCGTGTCATCAATCATAGCATGTAGGATGGCTGAGTCAATGAGTTCATTCATGAGGATTTCATTATCCAGCAGCGATATTTTAATGTGATTGAAACTCGCCTTTTATGCTCCTGCTGATCGCGCCATTGATGTTGTTATTGGAATATATTGGATAGGCAAAGTACACTCATCGACTGTTTACACTCCTTCGTCGTCAATTAAGATAGTTCTCGGGAGGCAGTACTCGTTGGGCGTCTGTTTTGCCTTGGAAATGTTCACCTTCAGACCCGTGGTGTGTGACTGCTTCTGCAACTGCACAAACTTTATTTGCGCTACCGTTGGGTCTTTGGCAAAGATGATGACATCGTTTAAAGCAAGCAGATTGGTGAGCCGTTCTCCGTAAGCAGACAGTTAATAAGGAAATTCAGCGCTTTCATGAAATGTTTGATAGAGATGGTGTACTGCTTTTTTGATAATGATTCAGCACTGTTTCTCTATCAGCTTTATGTCGGTTACGGTGTCGATATTCAGCTCTTTGACCAGGTGGGCGTAGACAAAATTGATACCGCAGTCGTGCAAGACGTGTTTCTTCTTCGGATGGATGCTTCTTCTTTGTAGCGTTCAGGCTATTCTTTTTTAAGGCAGCCTCTTTAAGTTCGTTCTCCTGTATTCCTCACAGTGCTTCCGGAGTTTTTTCTTTGCACAACGATTTTCTTTAGAGATCTTGTCTTGTTCATTTCCAGAATTAGTACGGCGACACGAGGTCACAGCTGACTATGAGTGATGCAGGCCTGTTCTTGGCGATGAATCCTGCAGTGTCTGTCCTAATGGTTTCCGGCGGAATATTTGATCACCGTTTTTCCACTTTGACAACTTCGATTTCGCTCATGCAGAGAATATCTGCTTTAACGACAGATTCTGCTGTTGTGGCTAGTTACGAAGATTTAATGATATTTTTGCCATTTGTCAGTCGCGTTTACGTTAGGCAGTTCATTCAGGGACCTAACCTTAGTGAACTGTAGTTTTCGTCTGCGCATCCTTCAACTAATCCACCGAGATCCAGAATGGAGGCCATTGGTAAGCTCGCGGTAGGGTGCTATACAAGTGTCATGCCTCACCATCTCGCCCCATTGAATAAAGCTCTCTGCAGCATATGCAACCCTGTCTCCATACTAAAGGATACGTTCATTTTTACTTATTAAAAAGCAATGCATCATAAGAATGTTGTGTAACGTTGATTTTTTTCCATCTTGATATTTCTTTTACTGATCGATCATGTGGTTGTTCTCAGTACGGATAGTTCGCTTGTAAGATCTTTAGGCAATATTTTTATGTGTTTTCTTTCATTTTTTTCTTTTCGCTTTGTTCATCTTTTTTCCTCCTATCATTCTTCTTCCTCACTGTTTCTGTGTTTCTGTTGCAACCGTTTTTTACTACTGATGACCATTATTACATTGTGTATAGATTTTATTATCACGCCAATGCGTTTATTCGCGATGTCGAACTTGTGGAAGTGATGTGCCACTATTTGCGCTCGTTGTCAAGGTATCGACTGAAACTTGCGTTGAACAGCAGTCTTCTGAACGTATGGACACCATCTCCCCTACGCTTCGCCGGTTACATCGACGACAAAATCATCGGCTTCAGTTCGACAGCGTCTTCTGATTGTTCAAATGCACTGCCGTTCGACGACGAAGCAGATGTCATCGTTGGTGTGTCTGCCCTTGAGTTCGAAGGTCTCCGCGATGATAGACTGAGTTGCAGCCTCAGTTCCGACGCAGTATCCGAAGATTTTTCGACTACAGCCAGCACCAGTCACGTGATTGGAGAAAGTGTTGAAGAAATTCTCTACGAACAAGTGATTGGAAGGTAATGTTTGAATTTGTACTTAAGGCTACGCCGGGAACGCGCCTTAAAAATTGGCGATCTCTTTCTGCTCCCTTTGCTCGAATATAGTCGAACACAGATTTGTCCATTTCATTTATTTACACTATTGTTTCTCCTTGTCTGTTTTAGGTTTTTCTTTAAGTGTGACTCTGACTGATTGTCATATAGTGAAGGTAAAAGAAATTTTACTACTTAAGCAAGCTTATTAATTAATCCCGCATTTTTTCACAGGCGAATGAAGGAACTGCCAACTATGATAGTGAAATTGAAAGCGAAAATTAAGTTTTAATCAGTTCAAAATTCAAAAAATTTTTTATGAGATAACACCGCATATTAAGTTCATTATAAACATATTCTCAAAATTTTCCAAATATGCTGATCGATCTTTAAGGAAGAACATCGTGTAAAACAGAATATTACTGTGGCATAGTTTGTTTTGTGTTATGTCTCTGCCTGAAAATGATAAATCCTGCTTTATCCGAAATTTTTTGAAAAAATATATCTCATAAATTCGCTTGGTGATATCATCCTGTAAAAAAGTTTTCGAATTTTGAAATGAAATTAAATGGTACATGTGCTGATTTATTAACTTGTAATCATTTAATAAACCTTGCTAGATGTCAATGATTAGCTGATGTCCTATAGTGAATTCTGAACGTTTTTTCAAACCAGTGGACATAGCTGCCTGCTTACGGATGATCGGTTTGTACCACTGTATTTTCTGTATACTTTACGTACAGCGTTGTGGGACCCTGCTGATGCATTATTCTTGACTTGACGTATTGTTGAAGGAAAATTTTACGGACCATAAATGACAAGTTATGAATGCTTTCAACATCGTTCGTTCCTATTCTTAGTGCCGATGTTTTTATACTTACCGCAGACAGATCTCGTATATTGGTTTATTTCAGAACTTCATCTAATGCGATAGCCAAGACTGCTTTGAAGCACATAAATTATCCACTTTATTGCTACTGTTCAATGCTACCTTCCTTCCTTCCTTTTGCTGGTCCTACTAATCGAAGAAATTATTTTGCTGGTTCCTTTTCACAGCTGAATTTTCGAACCAGATTGTGACAATTCTAAGACATAATGCTGACCTTGTCACGATAGCTAGAGCTATTGTATAAAAAAGTTTTCGTTTTCTTAAAATATATGCTTTCCAGCAAATGTCAATACTGGTTTGAAAAAGGAGCTCGTGGTTTTCATCGTCTTCCTCTTCACTAATTCTATTCTCGTCGCACAGGATTTCGATGCTCTCGGCGTCTCAGCTTCTAACTTAAAGCCGGCTGTTGTTAAAGTTGACGTCATGCGTTAACCTTCAAGGCGTCTTGGAAGTAGTTTTCCCCTTCCTCATTAGAATTCTAATCTTTTTCGTTAAAGCCACCATCTGAAGCGTTTCATTTAAGTACGTCGTTTACAGTTGCCAGCTGAGTGACTAGCTGCGAAGCTGTTAAAACTGATATAAATAAAGCAATTATAATATACTAGTAGTATGTTGTATTTATTAGTGCGGTTTAGTATCAGTATATTTACTTCTGGCATACAAGAACTATAGTTTGCGCGTACTATCTTATACTATTACTTATTGTGTAGTGTGTACTTAATCATTGGTATTGTATTGTAATGTATCATATTTATTGTATTCATGTTAAGAAGTGGATTACTATCGTATTATACTGATACATTCTGTGCGTTTAGTAAGTAATTTTCTGAAAGACTTTATTAAGTGTTAGTGTAGCATAGTACTAGTCATCTTCATCTTCCATCGCCGCTTCTCCTTTCGGGTCGCGGAGGACGCATCAGACAACTTTAAACGTTCCCGATCTTCTGCTAGATTCTGAGCTTCGGCAGAAGACAACTGGAGTCTGGAACAGACTCCTTCCATATGTTTGCACCAGGTTAATCTTGGCCGTCCCCTGGGTCTTTTGCCGGTCGGATTTGCAAGAAACAGTTTCTTATCCTTCCTTTATAGAGGCATTCGCAACACATGACCAAACCATCGCAGCTGTGACTTCTCAGTGTGAAGAAACAGAGAGTGTACACCATGGCTCTCCCGCATGTCAGTATTCCGGACCATATCGAGACACGTAAGACCAGGGACTCGTCTAAGAAAGCCCATTTCAGTAGCTTGTACCCGGGTTTCGAAGCTTTTCAGTCATGTTCCACGACTCATAACTGTAGGTAAGCGTGGGGATAAAGATCGAC